GCAGGACAGGAAAGGGAGGTATGAAACACCTGCATCTGTCACTTTGTTGCTGCATGGGGATGCAGGAGGTTGTTCTGGCACTCATCAGGATCTCAGGATGGAATGTTGGGCAGGGAGGAATCTGATAAGGTTTAACAAGAGCAAGTGTAGAGCCTTGCACCAGGGGAGGAATAACCACATGCATCAGTACAGGCTAGGGGCTGACATGCTGGAGAAGAGCTCAGTGGAGAAGGACCTGGGGGTCCTGGTGGACAAGAGGCTGTCCATGAGCCAGCAGTGGCCAAGAAGGCCAATGGCATCCTGGGTTGCACTGAACAGAATGTGGCCAGCAGGTCGAGGGAGGTGATCCCTGCCCTCTGTTCTGCCTTGATAGGCCATATTTAGACCACTGTGCCCAGTTCTGGGCTCCCCAGTTCCAAAAAAGACAGGGATCTCATAGAAGGAGTCCAGCGGAGGGCCAGAGAGATGATGAAGGGCCCAGAGCATCTCCCGTGTGAGGAGAGGCTGAGTAACCTGGGGCTGTTCAGCCTGGGGAAAAGAAGACAGAGGAGGGATCTGATCAATGTTTATAAATATCTAAAAGGAGGTGGGAGGCAAATGGATGAGGCCAGGCTCTTCCCAGTGGTGCGTAGCAGTAGGAAAAGGAGTAATGGCCTAAAAATTGAACACGGGAAGTTCTGTACTAACACGTGGGTGAACTTTATGGTAAGGGTGATGGAACACTGGCATAGGCTACCCAGAGAGGTGGGGGAGTCTCCTAATGTGGAGGTATTAAAGACCCGTCTGGTTGCCAATCTATGCAACCCATTGTAGGGAAGTGCTTTAGCAGAGGGTTGGACTCAATGATCTCATGAGGTCCCTTCCAACCCCTGCAAGTCTGTGCTTCTATGATCCAGCACAATGGAAGTTTAGCTCTGAAAGGTCTCCAGAATTTGCCTCAGTCATCACATTCACCCAAGCACACCATTGGGAACATGTTGCAGCCTAAAGGATGCCCTGTCCTTCCACTCCCTGCAAGGAGCTGCAGCCACCATGCGGCCTCCCCTCAGCCTGCTCTGCTCTGGGCCCACCAGCCAAAGGTCCTCAGCCACCCTACACACCCCCTGTCCTCCAGGCCCTTCCCCATCTCTGCAGCCCTCCTTTGGATGTTCTCTAACACTTCTATGTCCTTCCCTCACCTTGGGGACACACTGGCAGTGCTGGGCCCAGGTCACGCTGGGGCACTTATGTCCCTGTTAACCAGCTGACCAGCACTGAAGGACTTTGCAGCATCCCCTCACCGCTGCTAAGTGAGTTGATCCAAGCAGGAGAGTGGAGCTGAATGGGGAAGGGCTGTTCTCACAGCAGCAGCAGCACAGCAGGGAAGCTAAAGCAAAGTTTGTCTCAGCCCTCAGATAGCCAAAGGCATCAGTTCAGATCTCCATGAAATCATCAACTCGCTGTCCTGGGATTATGGGCTCACATAAACCGCCCAGAGGACCTGTTGTGCAAACAATTGGAAGATGGAGGCTTCTTTCCCCTAGCTCACAAATTATATACTCAGGAAGAAAGATTATTTACTTATAGGGCCTAAACTGGTTCAAACCTTGAGATCTGGAGCGCGGAGCCCTGTCTCCCTGCAGCCAGGCGGGGGGCATGGGCAGAGGCACTCCCTGCCAGCTACCATGGCTCCTGCGAGGCAGGACAGCTGTGAGGAAATGTGCAACTCATAAAGCTGAAGGGACTCTGCAAACTATTAGGTAATTAAGCAAAGTGAGGGCTTGGAGCGCCCGGCTGCTGCTTCCAGCCCATGGCTGTGCTCCCTTTAGAGTCTGATTGGATCAAGGATTTTTATTAACTTCATATTTTTTGCTTCTAATTTTCCTCCCTTTGCCTTTCATATTGCAAGCCCTGAGCTCCTCTGGTCTTGTGGTGATGTTTATTGGCACTGGCAGGTTGCAACACCCCTGCAGGCTTCCCACAGACAAACCCCAGTGTGCAGACCACGAACCAAAGCAACTTCATACGCTGTCTGTGCTGTGAAATCGCTCAGGCACTTCCCTCCTGGTTTTCCTTTTGCCCACCCCACGTTCCTGGCTGAAGCCTCCCCCCTCTGCTGCACCTCTCGATTTCCAACAGAAGAGGCTGAAAGCCCAGAAAAGCAGCTGGTTTGCAGGGCATGGCCAAATTCATCCCTTCACTGTGCCTTGAGGCTGTGGTTCGAGGTAGGGAACAAGTCCCAGTGGGCTGCAGCCACTGCCATTACTGTGTGGTGCAAGAGAGATACTAGACAAGGAGAGGGATGGTGAGATGGAGGGAGGGTGGTCTTAGTGGTGGCAAAGATCATGGGAGTTTGCTCTTTGCTTTACCATAGATCCTTTTTTCTTCCCCATCTAGCCTGGACACCTGGAAACCTGCACTTTGACACCTTAAGTACACTTTTCACTGTTAATATCTTCAAAGGGGGTGTCTTAAATTGTGGATACTTGTTGCTTTAGCACCTGACTTTGGGTATCTACCATGTAGTTCCAGAGAGCTTCCAAAACTTTCTGTAAGAAAGTAAGAAGCACAAGTTCCAACCACCTTTCTGGAAGCTGTCCACAGCTTGCAGAAGTGAATGGAATACACAGTGGGATTTATTTAGCCTCTGCAGATGCTTGTGCCCATGCTGACAATGGACCTTGGTTTGCAAGCAGACTGGGTTGGTTAAATTGTCCTGTTCTTTGCCATGCTCACAAGCAAATGTGCTAACAGCTGGCTGTGAGCCCAGCCTCTCATTTTAATATCATTTTGGGGTTTTACTTGTAGTGTTTCTGGGCAGTAGGAGGCAAAGAAAGAAGTGGTAAACCCCCAGCGTGCCAGCAGTGAACCAAAATAAAAGAGGAGCAGGAAAGCGCCTGCTTGACCAGCAGCAGTGCCTGGTTTTGGTGGCCTTTCAGCTGCCTGTTATAATAGCAGGGAAGTGGCTGACTCACTCGAAGTTTTCTTTCAACCCCTTGTCCTGACTGGAAGGAAGTACAAAAGATGCTTTGTTTTCACAAGGGGGACACAGAAGGCTGCAGCCTCCAAATCTCCTGCTTGCTGATGGAGCCTGATGCTCTACCCCATGTGGGATCCATTTGAGTCTGAAAACTTGACGAGAAATGTCAGAGCAACACCAGGATGTTCCCCACCCCAGCACAGCAGCAGCAGCTTATTTGTTCAGCTCTCAGCTGCTGCACACGATCAGTGCAACATGTAATATGCAATGGGGGTTGAAGACATATGGGTAATCTCTCACAGTGTTGAAAAGATGTTTTGTCCACAGAGTGCTTTTTGAGCTGTGCTCATCATTGTTCTAGCTTCCAGGTGTCTTGCCTGGCTCTTACAATCCCTTGTCTCTCAAGCACTTGTAAAGTTTTTGAGTGGGGCCATTTCTAACCTTTTAAGTACTGCTGCTTATTCAGTGTCAATGTCCCAGATCAGATTCAGCAGCGTTCAGGTTTCTGCCTTCTCAATGAACTGAAAAGGGCCTGGGGAATCCTGGTGGACACCAAGTTGAACATGAGTCAGTGTGTCCTTGCTGCTAAGAAGGCCAATGTCATTCCTGCCTGCATTAGGCAAAGTATTACCAGCAATAGAGGTGATCCTTCCTATCTACTCTGCATTGGTGAGTCTGCACCTCAATAATTCTGGAGTTCTGGTTCCAGTTCTGGGCCCTACAGTGCAAAAGAGACATGGACAGGCTAGAGAACCCAGGGTAGGACTGCTAAGATCATCAAGAAATTGGAGCACCTACAGGAGGGGAGGCTAAGAGATCTGGGACTTATCAGCCCTCAGAAGTCTCAGGAAGATCCCATACATGTCCATATATACCTGAGGATGCTCAGTGGTGCCCAGTGCTTGGCTCTGAGGCACTGGGAGCAAGCTGGAACACAGAGGTTCCTTCTGACCATCAGGAAGCCCTTCTGTGCTGTGCAGGTGAAGGAACATCTATGATTACCAACAATGGTATTGTTCTCTCTGCTCTGCCAATTGCTTCCACAGAAACATCTTCTGCCACTGGTGAATCTACCTGACATTGTTACCCTTACTTTACACATTAGAAAGCCCAGGCAGGTTAAAGAACCTACTGAAGAAGATCTAAAAGTTAAATTTCAACTCCTAGAGTTAAGTGAAAAAAAGGAATAAATATGTATCAAAAGACTCATTGGTGTCATTAGCAGCATTTTTTGTAGTTGTTGTTTTTGGCCATTTGTTCATTTGTCTCAGCCATACTGAAAATTCCTGGAATGAGTTTCTCTTATCTGCTGGAAGAAGCTGTTCTGGCAAAAGAGAAAATACTTTTTTGTGTCATATGGTAGCCCTTAAGGTAACAGACGTGAGAATAATTTGGCAAGCAAGATGCTCTGCTCAAAACTGACTCAGACTCTGATGGTTAAATCAACACAGCCTGAGTGACTGAACTTTGCTGTCTAATGCTCATTTGTCTTGGGATGTCATTTATCAGCCTGATGAGAGCCCACAGACATCTAAATTCTTCTTTTGTCCTCTCTTGCAGGTCAGCCCCAGACACTGATGGGAAGGACCACCCAGAGGGATCTCAGGCTTCCAGGACTTTGCTTATTGATGAGAAAGCAGCAGCTGTGTTCAGTATCCGTGGCTGCCACAGGTGGTCTCAGTAGTGCTGACATCTCAGAGGGACTCTTCTCTACGTGACCTCCTGAGTCACCATTTGTTCCTTCTCCTTGTTCACAGCCTCTGCCACTGTCACTGAGGTTCATCACGCAAGGATTGATTTTTCTTGCCCAGGCTTTAGCCAAATCCTTGCTGCTTTTGTTATTCACTACACCTGGAGAGGGGAAAGCCCCATCTCCACCTGACCTCCCCACGCTCAGCTAGCTCAGCCTGCTGCTTGCTTCCCCATGAGTCTTTCCACCTCTGGGAAACTGCCTACTATTTGACAGTGGCTTCTGTGAGTTTAATGACAAGAAAAACAGAATAAAAACCCAACATCTTTTAAAATCCCTTTTTTATTTTTGCTCTTTTCTTTACTGTCTGTGTGTTCATAAACTCCCATCTCTTACAGGCCAAGGATGCTGTGTGGCTGCCTGAGAAATGCTTAGCCCTCTGGAAGCATTGCCATTAATAACTAATACATCACAGAACCATAGAATCACTGAGGTTGGAAAAGACATCCGTGATCACCCAGTCCAACTGTACACCTACGGCTGATAAAATCACCAAATTACTGCATCCAGACCTGAAAGTTCCCTGGGTTGTTTTATCTCTAAGCAAAACCAGTACCTCACTAGGCTGACCAGAAGGCACCATGAGATTTGTAACGGCCTTGAGGGACAGATTTCAGGCAGAGAGCATCTAATATCAACAGCTTGCTGGGAAGTGGAAAGCAGCTGAGTGCAGGGTTCAGATGTACATACAGCAGTCCCAGTGTGTTCCTATGAGCTGCCCGTATTCAGCCATGAGCTGATAGTCTCCATAAGGTGGCCTTGTCATCTTAGTCACCTGCTGGTCCAATTCAATTGTGGACATCTGCAAAATATAAGCCAAGAGACTCCCTGGGTCCTTGTGGTGCCTGAGTTGTATTTTATAATGATTCCAAAGCAGCCCTAAGTGAAAATAAGCCATCGTGCACACGAGCTAACGCAGGCAGGGTGCAAAGCTGAAAAAGAACTGGAAAAAATTAACTTCTGGTATATATTTCCTATGTCTCCTTTCAGTTAACTCACTGCAAGGCTTAAAACACTTCCTTGCCATATGAATCTGCTGTGGTGTATTTAACACATTACCGGTATAAAATGATTCATGCACAAACTTCTTTTATCAGCGAAGTCCAAACTACTTTTCCTCCCTCTAAATTGGTGGTGGAGCTGAACCAAAACCACGGATCTGATCACTCCCTGAGCATGTGGGCAAATCTGGATCTTCAACCCAGCATCATGCACAGTCCTAATTTGTTAATAGGCCCACACCTAAAATACCAAATCCCAACGTTGTTGGGTTTGGAAAATGTTCTTTATAACAAAGGTCTCCAAAAACCAATTTCTAGGAGACTTAGGCTTTGAGGAAGTTTGTTTCTAACAAGAAGCAACCACTCGTGGCCTTTCTCTATGCAAAAGAGAAAGGAGAAACTGGAATTTTACCCCTTTTAGGTTTGGAGAAAATTTCATTTTGTTCCAGATTTCTCCTGGCAAACACAATGGCTCAGGGCAAAGCAGGGATATTTTACAGGGTGAGGAAATTATATATGTCTTTGAGGATTTGTCCTAAAAGGATTTGGTGTTTTTTTTTTTTTTTAATAAAAGAGCACCAAATTTTTTTTCCTGCCATATATAACCATTTCTCTGCTATTTTTCATATCAGCTATCGAGAACAATTGGAGAGAGGTGATCAACTGAAGAAGGGGTTCCTTTCTCCCTCGTTAGGAAGCAATAGTTTCTTGTGCAGATCTGGCTGATGCTACCTGCTGTCACATTGCAGATGGTCCTTGCTAGGCTGCTCCCAGGGATGCTGCAGGAACAGGAACGAGCCTGGAACTTATTCTGATAGATGTCTGGGTATGGTCACACTGTTTGGAACCTAAGAGAGTTTAATAGCATAGATGCAACTGTTAGTTCCTATGCCAAACAATGACTCCTGGCAACGTTTGTCTTGTTAATTTGCAGATTTGAGATCAATGAGACAAACTGGAAAGAGAAACACATTTAAGTGTTCTGAGAGATGAAGGCTGAAAAAAGGTAAGAGTCTGGTCTATCAATTCTCCTCTTTTTCACTAGATGGGAATAACATACGCAGCAGCACTTGGTGCTATATCACTAACCCAAAGGCACAATTCTCAGCTCTCCCTCTGAGAGCATCTCAAGCCTCCCAGACCCATCTAGACCTTAGTTCATTTTACCAGTATTGCCAAGGAGACTTCTATAATCCTCACAAAACTTGCCTCTGAAGTGGACCAAGTCAACTAAACACATGCCATAGAGCCAAAAGAGACACAGATCATTACTGTCTCTACCATAATCTGTAATGGTGGCCATCAGCGATACTCTTGAGATCCAGTTCCCTGACTTTTTGTGCCCTATTATGATTGCTTTCCCAGCAGAAAGATCAAAAAGGAAGCCCTCAGATGACCCTGCCCTATAAATACCCTTCAAAGGATGTCACAATCCAAATGATCCCATGCCCAGAATGCCCTTGCTCTTCCAGCACATGTTCCACAGGGCAGCACCACAAAGCCAGCATCCCTCCATGTGAAATCACATTTCTGAGCCTCTTCAAAGTTTTCCAATCTGATCTTCTGCACCGCAGACAAATGCCATGCCAGACTCTCCCCACTGATGGGACCACAATCAAAGCCAGATTGCTTCACCATCAAAACAATGCCTGGAGAGCCCATGTATGCTACTCGTGGGCTTGCTTCCCTTTCAGTGTCATACCAGCCTCCCTGTGTGCTCCCAATGCTCTGCCTGTTCCCACACAGCTAGATGGATGTGCCTGGGGAAGCTTTCCTTGGATGTTTTCACACTCTATCATTCCTATTCTGCTGGTTTAGCTGTACCATAGCAGGGGAGACAGAGAAAATATTTACCTACTCACTCTGGGATATTAGCTTTAATTAGTAATGAAGGTCAGTTTGTACTAACTCCCACAATCTGAGCTTTCTGAGGAGGAGAATGGGCAGCTGACAGAACAAATCTCCCAAAATATCCTTATAGAAGTCTAAAATGTTTGAGTTCTGCTGCTTCTTTAAAACCTTTTGGATATTTGTGCAAAACACACTGAGTTTAATTATGGATCACGTAATAACATGCAAGACAGAAAACAATAATTGGGATTGAGAGTCTAACTAAACTACTCACAGGCTGTCCAAGATCTTCCTTCAGAGATAAATTTGTAAATTACTCTATAAAAGCAGCAAGAAAATATACAAAATACACACAGACTTGGTGTGTGGGTTCATAATCACCAGATACTCTGTTCACCATGCTCAGGCTGCCCTTGATTTAGACAGCGATGCCTTTTTTTTACTTGAATGGATTTGGCAGTAGGCAATGCAAGCAGTTATCGAGAACCACAGAGAAATTTATGTTGGAAGAGGTGCCAGGCAGTTGCCTGGTAGATCTCTGCTCAAAGCAGAGAGAACTTCTTTAGCAGGTGCTGCTCAGGACCTGAAACTCATGGCAGCTTGAGGAAACCAATGGAGTTGGGAGTAAAGTTTCTCACCGAGTAACAGTTGTAACAGCAAGGCTAAAATGCACCTGAGCTACAAAAATATTTGACTGAAAATGCCCACAAAGCATTCTGAGATGCCTGCTTTATCAGCATGAAATAGCAGAAGCTGCTTCATATCTGAGGATCTTCTCCGTCTGGTTGCTCTGCTCTGAACCATTATGGATTTCCACAAACATTCCAGAGACGATCTAAAGAGCAGGTTTTTACAGTGGCAGATTATTTATATGCATCTATTCAGCAGAAAGGACACCCTCCTGCATGCTGCCCAACTTGGGATTGGAAATCATGATTTTGCAAAACTGTCTTCAAGAACGTGGGAGGTATTATGTGCACCTGCAGCCCATGGGAGGGCCTGCTGAGCTGCCTGCTGGGGGATCAGGCTTCCATGAGATGCTGAAGCCAGAATGGGGATTGGTTTTCAACCGAGAGAGGGGAGATTTAGGTTGGATATGAGGAGGAAGTTTTTGAGCCAGAGGGTGGTGATGCACTGGAACAGGTTGCCCAAGGAGGCTGTGGATGCCCCATCCCTGCAGGCATTCAAGGCCAGGCTGGATGTGGCTCTGGGCAGCCTGGGCTGCTGGTTGGTGATCTGCACACAGCAGGGGGTTGGAACTGGATGAGCACTGTGGGCCTTTGCAACCCAGGCCGTTCTAGGATTCTGTGATTCAATGATTCTATGACCTCAGATGGGTATCCTAACATGGTTTCAGGGCTCCTTCCCACCCACTCCATCTTGGATGTGTCTGACTCAGGAAGCAAAGTTACAAACAGAGGAGATGTTATAAATAATCCTGAGTACAACATGTTCATCTTTCAGGTTGTTCAGTCTGCTTCTCGATGGAAAATTCATCTATGCGGATACAATGCCACCAGCTTGTCCAGGGCTGGTGCAAGCAGAGGCATCTCAATACATGAAGATTACCAAGGGTTTGGCTGCCAATATTTTCAGTTGTTTTTTGTTGTTGTTTTTGCCTTTTTTTTTTTTTTAAACTCCATTTCCTCCTTGTTTTAGACAATTCCAATTCATTCTGTCTCTTGAGCACTGTCTCATTTTGCATCTGTTTTCCCTTTGCATATTTTCCCTTGTTTACTTTTGTAAGCAGTCAGTTGTTTTTATTCAATTCCCTATGGTTTTCTTTGGGTTTTTCAGTTTTTCTAATCTTCTCTCCAGCTCTTCCATTCTCACTTCTTACCTTCTATTCCAGAGAGCTGCTAAAGCACTGTTTCCAATTAGGTCTGTTTTGTCTTGTTTACTGTTCTTTTCCTCTCCCTTGTGTTTTACAGCAACCACCTTTTTCTTTTTCTTTTCCTTTTTTTCCCCCTTGCTGATCAGAAGCCAGGAAGCTTCTACTTCTTCACTACTGTTGATTTCAGTCATTTATGTATTTTTCTTTCCCCAAGAAATAGAGTGGATGGCTGCTTCAAAGAGTCTGCACTGCAATTGTAGCAATCGCTGTGGAAATCGCATCCATGCACATTAAACTGTAGCAAGAAAAAAAGACCATTATAATATCTTCTCTACTCTTTTTGTAATTAATTATTTTACTTATTCATCCCAAAGCACTCCATTGGGTGTGGATGCAATTTAACTGCCATATTTCCTTATGGAAAGACCAACAGACACAGGATATTGTGCTCACAGGTGCTCATCAAGACTTCCTAAAGACTTCCATTGCAAAGAAGTTAGAAGCACTGCTCTGAGCCAACAGAGAATAACACAGATCTCAGACAGATTTCAGTGTCACATCTTGCTTATGTCCCCTGAAACATTTGCCAGAATCCAAGCAGTTCCAAGAAACATTCAAATAGTAGCAAACCTGGCAGGAAAGTGATCTGGGGAGAGAAATTCTCACTAGATCTGGTTCTAATTCAGTGTTACCTTGTCCTGTTGTATCTGGGTAGTACAACGAGGAAAAGTTTAGAGGAGCAGGGAAGGCAAATGTTATTAACAAGGAAAAGAGCTCAGAGAGCACCGTGGGCTTCACCTGCTTGTCTCTATTTGTTCATTTATTTAGGAAAAGCAAACAAACTAAGAGCTAGTTTCTCCAGTTGGCAATTTTCTGTGTCCTGAAAACTTCAGGGCCCTGTTCAGTCTCTGGGGTAAATACAGGGCCAACCAAGACGCGTACGAATGAGATTCCATAGTAACAAAATTTACGTGGAAAATCATCCACCAGCTTTGGGAATTTCAGCAATGCTCAAAGCCATAAATGTTTGGCACCACGAGACATCCAAGAAATCTGCACGGATGGTGTTGGTTTTGTGCCTTTGAAAGCTTTCCTTCTGACTCCCTTTTGTTACGCTTTCTTTTCTTCCTCTTTTTTTTCCCCAGCATTTGACTCATGAGCACAAGTGATTAACTTCATGAAACGAGAAACTTGGCTTCCTTTCTTGGCTCTTGCATTTAATTTCTGCCCGCTCTCAGAGAAGTCTGAGGGAAATTGGCTTTTTACGCAGATAGATAGTGATAAGACAAGGAGGAATGGTTTCAAACTAAAGGAGGGAAGATTTAAGAAACATATCAGGGGAAAGTTTTTCTCTGACAGGGTAATGAGGCTCTGGAACAGCTGTCCAGAGAGGCTGTGGATGCCCCGTCCATCCCTGGAGGTGTTCAAGGCCAGGTTGGATGGGGCCCTGGGCAGCCTGGGCTGCTCTGAAATGTGGAGGTTGGTGACCCTGCCTGTGGTGGGGGGTTGGAGCTTCATGATCCTTGGGGTCCCTTCCAACCCAAGTCATTCTATGATTCTATGATTCTATGATTCTATGATTCTATGGTTCTATGGTTCTATGATTCTATGATTCTATGTCACTTAAAACTAGGTCTGTAAGATGAGTTGGGTTGTTTCACACATCGTGCACTCAGTATCTCTGTTTGGAGAGCAGGTGAATGAATGGGATCACTCAAAGCCAAAGGGCAGACTGTAAAGCTACATAGGGAAACCCCATAGAAAAAAAAGAAAGATGGGCAAGACTGAGGGTTTCTAAATGCTTGGTCCTTGATGAAGAAATACATGGCTATAAGAGAATCTCTAGATGGGATTTTCAGATGTGAATCTTTCTCAAGATTAAATACCTAAGTCACACGATCCCAATTTTATGGAAACTTGCAAAAAGATGCATTGCTCCTTAACAATGAAACAGGAAAGTGTTTCAAATCCATCCTATACTTTCTTGAAGCAAGGTTTTCACATCTTCATATTTGGTACTGTTTTTTGGGCTTCTCCTCACCAGTGTAAGCAAGGTAGCAGGAGATCAGTTAAATTCAGTCACTGGGCTATGGGATATGATGGGATGCACATGGCAACATCAGAAAGCTTCACTGACACCACTGATTGGTACAAAGCCAGATGTAATAGCAGTGTTCACAGAACCAGACATCCTGAAACAAGTTGTTGGGGAAGGACCATGGAGCAAGCAGGCAGCCTGAGAGCTCTGCCTTGCTTCTGATATGACACAGAGCTCTGAGCAGGGTGACAATTTCAAGACTTTACCAGAAGTAATGTGAATGTGTGTAGCCCTCAGCCATGGGAATTTGAAGGATCCCTGTAATATCCTGTGTTGAAAGTATTGCTTAAGTCCATTTGTAGCTTTAGCTCAGAAGCATGATTCTGCGATCTCTGTGCACCTAGGAGTGCTAGATTTCCTTGTGAAAGACGCATGAATATTCCTGCAATCCAGTTGTGCTGAAGGAGTAAGCCAACTGAGTCAGCCAATGGCATAGCATGCATGTGTTTAAATGTTTTATTAGAAGTATGTTTTGGAAAACCAAAAATTACTGTCAGTTTTAATGCGTAATCCTATCAAATATTTATGATTCCAAAACCATAATGTAAATCAATCTATTTAGATTAGAGTGTGATAAATATATATAAAACAAAAGATATGAAAATAATTTCCTTATTCACGTACTTGCCATTTTTTTCGGTGCAAATGCCTTTGTTTCTCCAGCTACTCCTGATAACATCACAGTCATCTGAAACAGTGCCCATAGAAAACCTCAAAAGCAATCCAGATCATAGAGATACATGGACACAGTGAGAAAGAGACCTTCTAAAAAAGGCTGACTAATGAAAATCGTTATTATTTATAACAAATTAGGGAGCAGGGACACATATGTAGTGCATAGGCTGGCTGATGAGCACAAGATCTCAGCCACAAGCAGTACAAAAGTGAGTTTATTCCATTTGATATCTACAACGTGAGAAGGAAAACACAGAAGAAATAAATTAAAGGCTTCAATCCAACTAAGAATGTGGATAGTGATAGGACAGGGGGAATGGTTTTAAAGTGAGACAGGGGAGGTTTAGGTTGGATATGAGGAGGAAGTTTTTCATCCAGAGGGTGGTGAGGCACTGGAACAGGTTGCCCAAGGAGGCTGTGGATGCCCCATCCCTGCAGGCATTCAAGGCCAGGCTGGATGTGGCTCTGGGCAGCCTGGGCTGCTGGTTGGCGACCTGCACACAGCAGGGGGTTGGAACTGGGTGAGCACTGTGGGCCTTTGCAACCCAGGCCATTCTATGATTCTATGATGTCAACAGTAAGGACAAGGCATGGGTCTTCTTGAGCATCTTGTTTTTAGATGCTCAGCTTTTGTTCCTGGGTACAGACTTACGGCTACTTGGCACCCACTGCCAAAACTGCCCTTAGGGCAAATCCTGCGTGCACTTGCATCTGACTTGGACCCTCTGAGCAGCTCTGGGGATCTAGGAGAAAACATCAACTGCAGAACTCAATTTGTGGGGAAATCTTCCCTAATTGTATTTTTCTGAGCCCCATACCTCAATCCTGTCACTAAGCATGATATTCATTATAAAGTTTCTTTCAACTGTTTTTGCATTGATCTCTGATTGCTTTGACTGGAAAACTGTGCCTTCTTTTCTGAAGGACTCTTACTTTTCAAGGACAAGAAGCAGATGAGGTCAATGTCCCAAAAATACCATGTTTTTTTTAAATTTTTTTATTTACCATTTGTAAAAAAAGAAGCGCATCTAAAAGGCAGATATTTTGACCATTGCATATTTGAGCTACTGGCACATGTTTCTAGCTTTGTTTGAGGACCAATCGTATCCCTCCCAAGCTTCCACTTTGGATGAAAAAAGTCTGAAGTCTTAGTCGCTAGCAAAAACATTCTGGAATGGATTTGTTGATAGAAGATGACTGCTGTGCTTTCAGAAGGAAAATTAAACTAAAGAACAAGTATATTTAAGCATAATTGCTTTAAAAACAAAACACATGCTGTAGTATAATCTATTGTTCCCTGGAAAATGGAATAATCCAGAAGGCTGAGTTCAGTGCAGTGTAGTAGAAAAAAAAAACAAATTAATTTGCAATGCAGAGTCCTGCTTGCAGCTTTCTGCCTGACTGCGTGTAAGGTGCCTCGATGCCACTGGAAATTAGCTCATTTTGGGTTCTGGTAGGACAGTTCAACAAGTGTCAGATGGGGTTTTCAGGAAGGCCATTATCAGACTGAGATAATCCTACTGAAAACTGACTTTTAAACAGGACCCAGTTCCCTCTGGTGGGTGGCTCACCCCAACGCCATGGGGTCTATCTGTGCTCTAGACTCACTCCTGCCTGTGGTTTTATGTAGAGTCTCCCATTGGTTTCTGTCAACCACGACACAGTATCACAGCACTAGTAGTACCTGAGTCATATTCTGATTTTGAGTTTGGAAAACTGGAGTCTCCCCAAAGTCCATTTGTCCAGAGGGCCTGCAGCTCTGAATAATGGCTCAGAGACAGCCGTGAGCCTAAATATTAGTTCAATCTCAAAAATGATGACTGATTTCCTAGCTCAGACTTTTTTTTTTTTAATCCAAATTATAAACTATTTCACACCACCGGAGAGTTTTTTTTGTTTGCCTTTTCTACTTGTTTACTCTTTTCTCTAAATTTGTATTGTCTATGACATGCTTCTTTTTGGAGAATATTCCTCCCAGCAACAGACATTATAGAAATGCTTCTGATTACTGTCAGTAAGTCAAAACAACCAATTTCTGAACAGCAGATTCAGGTACAAGGCATGATGGCAACAGCAAGTCCCATTGCAGATTGGAATATTAGAGATGCCAGCATGCAAAACGGCCTGTGTCGTTAGACTTTGCTACACTGAAGCCTTACTATGTTAAGAAAGAAAGCTTTTCCAATGATATGCCAAAAGATGAGCAACACCAGCAATCTTGTAGCTCTGAAGGAAGGAAATAATCCATCTCAAGATGCGTTGAGCTTGTTTCTGTATAGTAATCTATGTCAAGTTTCTTTGGAGCTGGTAAACCAAGTAAGAATAATAAACACATGAAAGCTGCAAGGAATTGGAGGGAGTCTGGTGAATGTTACAGGAATTCAGCTTTGCTGCCACCAGGATTTCAGCAGGCCTTCCCATGACAGCCTCACACCATTCCCTTTTCCATTCAGCAAAGTTCAGCAAAGTGAAACCAATTTCCCCAAATTCTTAAAAACTTGGTTTCCTGGTTTTTGAAGGGAAAATTTCAATACAACTTGTAGCACACTTCTACCCTTCTGGCTGTCTTCTGGAGATAAGCCATGCTCCTTTTGGACCACGGTGGCTTGGGGTCGGCCCTGAGCCCTATGGCTCAGCCCTATGGCTGTACATGTTTCATAGCTTTCCCCAGTTTTAGATGTAGATGTGATCACATTCTATGGCATCACATTAATGAAATCCCTTTCAATGCAAACTTGTGAGGCTGTATTACTTGTATGTGTTGTCATCACATTAGAGTGATGGGCAGACTGAGTCTCAGAACAGTGACTTGGCTTGCTGTGTCACTTAGGAGGATAGATCAGCACCAGAATCATCTTTGCAGTCTACCAGTGCTGCCTGGCCCTACAGGCTGCAGTAGGGAAGATACATATTGCCAGCAGTAAATATCCCCAGAGTGATGAGATTATTAATGTCAGACATCTCTTACACATCGCATGTATAGAACCACTGTCCAGTAAGACCAAGGATTATTTTGATAAGCAGTTGGCCTTGAGCAGCATTAGTTTGTGGGAAAGTTTCTTGGATGTAGCTAGTCTGCTCTACAAGGCTCATTAAATTGCATTTTGCTACATTTACTGCACGTGGCTCACTTCCCTCATATGGATTGACTGTTTATGCTTATTCCTCAGCTGTGTTTATTGGTAAAGTTTCATGGCCTTAATCACAAATGCATAACAGCCCTAACCAATGCAGAGCATCCACCATTTCTAATAACATATGGTCTGACTGCTCAATAGTTTCGATGCTACAGTTCATTAATTCTCCACGGGAATCATAAGCATGTAGTATTGTCTTATTTTTTAAGCCAATATTGTTCCAAGGAGATTAAAAAAAAAGAAATGGACCTGCTATAATCTGAGTTTAAACAGACACTTGTTTAGTTTTTGCAGAGCTGTGCTGCTGCATGACAAGGAAATCAAAGCCACAGGATTTCTATCTTGGTTTAATAAATGTCACACCCAATTGATTGAAAACCTTCAGAGGCCAAAATTCAAGTTCATATCTAAAGTCATTTTGACATGCTTCTTTCCTTCGTCGTATTTTGGAGAATACCCATCCTTAATATCAGGCCATGAGAGAGAGCAGTGAATGTAATGACAAGTACAGTTAAGACACGTGCATTTAGAACACATACAGTTACGGTTCTGCAGCACATCTGAAATGGTTGTTTACCAGCGCACACAATATGAGGAACAAACAGGATGAACTCGAAGCTTTGATCCTTTCCCAGAGCTATGATATCATTGATACTAGCTGGATGTGATGGAATGAATGCTGGGAAGAACAGATATTGGCTGTCACAGAATCACAGAATCACTAAGGTTGGAAAGACCTACAAGATCACCCAATCCAACAATCCACCTAACACCAATAGTTCTCACTAAACCATGTCCCTCAACACAAAATCCAAGCATTCCTTGAGCACCCCCAGGTCACTGACTCCACCACCTCCCTGGGCAGCCCATTCTATGATTCTGTAATTCTGTAATTCTGTGATTCTGTCCAGGAGGGATAGGCAGGGCAGGCAAAGTGGAGATAACGTTCTTCTATCAACTTGCTGGATGAAGGGAAAGTGGTGGATGTAATTTTTCTGGATTTCAGTAAAACCTTTGCTATTTTTCCTCATGGCATCCTTCTGGACAAAAAAAAAAAATCTTTTACTGTGAGTATGGTGAGGCACTGGCACAGGTTGCCTAGAGTTGTGGTGGATGCCTTGTCCCTAGGCACTTTACAGCGAGGCTGGATCAGGCCCCAGGCAACCTGATCTAGCTGTGGTGTCTCTGTTCATTGCAGGGAGTTGAACTAGATGGCCTTCAGAGGTCCCTTCCAACTCTAAGGACTCTGTGATTCTATGATTCTGTGAAATTCTCCACCTGTGAGTCGAACGGGTTCACGCTATATTGCGTGATGAGCTGTCTCAATGGCAGAGCTCACTGGGTCACAGTGAATTGGCTCCATCTGGCTGGCAGCCAGTCAGTAGGAGTGTTCCTCAGGGCTCAGTTTGAGGGCCAGTCCTCTTCAACATTTTTGCTAATGACCTGGATGCAGGAGTGGAATGCACTCAGTAAATGCCAGGTGCTGCACTTCTCCTGTATTTAATATTGGTGCGGCCTCACCTTTGATATTGCATGGGTTCCAGAATATGAATAAGATGTCAAGGTCCTTGAAAGCACCCAGATGAGGGCAACAAAGCTGATGAAAGAGCTGGAAATCATGTCCTATCAGCAGAGACTGAGCACATTCGGGTTATCTAATTTGGAAAACAGATCTGTGAAAAGTCATGGCAGTCTGGTGATGTTCCCAATGACTGGAAAAAAGGCAGCGTTGCACCCATTTCTAAGAAGGATACAAAAGATGACTGAGGCAACCACCAACCTCTCAGACTCACCTTTATGCTGGGAAAGATCATGGAGCTGATCCTCCTGGGAGCTATGCTAAGGCACATGGAAGACAGGGAGGTGGTAGTGGAGAAGCAGCATGGCTTCACTAAGGGCATGTCCTGCCTGACCCAGCTTATGGCTTTCTATGATGGCATAATTCCATCAATGGACAAGGGAAGAGCCACTGACGTCACCTGTCTGGATTTCAGAAAAGCCTTTGTCATGGTCGCCCACAACATCCTTCTCTGCATTGGAAAGATATGGATTTGATGGGTGTCATCTGCAACGTTGCGCAGATGACGCCAAGCTGTGTGGCGTGGCCATCACTTCTGAGGGACAGGATGCCATTCAGAGAGACCAAGACAGGAAAAGTAGTGGGCCCAGGTGAACCTTGTGAACAAGTCCTCAGCACAGGAGAGACATGGAGCTGTTGGAGTACATCCAGAGGAGGGCCACAAAAATGACCCAAGGGATGGAACACTTCTCCTACAAGGACAGGATGTGAGAGCTGGGGCTGTGAGCATGGAGGAGAAAGCTCCAGAAGGACCTGAGAGGGACCTTTCAATATCTAAAGGGGCTGTAAGAAAGAAGGGGACAGACTCTTTAGCAGGACCTGCTGTAATAGGACAAGGGGAAATGGTTTCATACTAAAAGAGGGGAGATTTATAATGAATATAAGGAATTTTTTTATTAGGGGTAGTGAAGCGCTGGCACAGGTAGCCAATTTTTTTATTATTTTGTTACAGAACAACAAGGCAAGTGAGAAAAGTTAAGGTTCAAACTTTAAGAAAATAATTCAGCACTGTGAATTCTGATATACTTTGAGCAAACTGTCTGGTAGCAACACGGTAAAGCAGAGTTAAACTTGTTTTTCCCCAAACTGTCTGTTTCCAGCTATTATTATACTTTGATTTGGCTCGTGATTCTTCTTCAACAGGTGCATCATGAAATATACTATAGAGATAGTTACCTTTTTATAGAATCATAGAATCGTAGAATGGTTTGGGTTGGAAGGGACCTTTAAGATTGCTCATTTATGGCCATATTTTTTACAGAGTTGGCATGTTTTTTAATCTCTGTGATACTTGACTCATCCTCTTGTCCAGTGAGAAGAAGTAAACAGTATGTATTCCTTGTTCATATAAACATCCAAGCCTTCAAAAATATCTCTCTGACCTTCTTCAACTCTTTGCCTCAATGATTTCCTGTGGCAGGGAATTCCTCAGGGTGATTATAGTTTTAAACAGAAGTATTTCCTTGCATCCATTTTAACTTTGTTGCCTGTGAAACTGACGCAGCAACCCCCTTTGTTTTTTGTTCTGGATACAGAGGAGCTTCCAGATGGCTTTTCTGCAAACCAGTCATTATTTTGTATTCCAGCATTATTTAAGTATAAATACATATACAAAAAAGAAGCACACAACAACAACCCACTTACATAAACAGGAAAAATCTAAAAGTTTTTTTCAGAATCTCTAAATCCTTGCATGCTAGTAAAAAAAAAAAAAAAAAAAAAAAAAGAAAGAAATCATCAAGAAAACGACCTTTTAAAGTCAGCTGCATCCAGTATACACAGTAAATGGAAAAAAAAACAAGATGGCCTTTTCTTCCTTTTTCCTTCCTTTAGACTGAAAATAGAATTCTGTAGGCACCCACCTCTTCGAGTTAGAGAACTGGACCTTAATGCTTTCTTGTCCTCTGCAGGTCTGCCCTGGACTTTGTCACCACTACCAGTAAGTTTCCATTGGCATAACAAGCCACTGCAGCCCAGTTCTTCATGGTGCACTCTCTGTGCTGGGAACACTTGTCCCATCTCCAAAGGTTCACCAGAGTCGTCCCAAGCACAGGGACAACAGCTCACACTCGAGAACACCAAGACCCACAGCTCCTGGCAGATTCTGGATAGCCTTTCCAAGCCACCAGTACCCCTGCTTCCATTTTCTCCAGCCACACTGACAGCTGTTTGAAAATCATAGACTTCAGTCTATGGTGTTTTCATGTGAAGATAGGCAAACAGGTTAATAAATTCACTCAAGGTTACTGAGATCTCAGCTGCAGTGTCACAGAGTCGAATACCTCCACCTCCAATGACTTCACTTTGTAACCTTGATTACTAATTGTGTACATGATGAATTTTACTTCTCCAAGGGCTATATTATGTTCAGGAGATGGGTGGGACAGGACTTGTGCAAAACAAGTCCCGCTTTAGCTTTCCTTCTTAACCATTCAGACTTCATAAAATAAATACTGGAATCTACTGAGGAGATAGAAATTATGAAGCAGGGACATCTGATGTCCTCATCAAAGGACATAAAACACAACCCTTCCATGGTGCCACTCTGGAATGGCACCCATGGAGTTATGCTGGAGATAACTTGCCTGTTGTGCTGAACAGAAACTGGAAACACACACATACATACTTTGAATGGATTTAATGTTGCCTGTTTTTCAGAAAGGAATTCTATCTCCCAAATCAGTTTTCTTGAAGAAAAACATCTATCATCCCAAATCAGGGACCTCAAGAGGCTTACCGACTGGGAAGTCTTTCTTTACAGTCTCTTCCAATCTAGCCCCAAAGGTTTTGTGCTTGAAAACCAGAGTCTTTACAAAAAAAAAAAAAAAAAAACATTTTCAACCTCATTCAGTAGCTCAGCTGAACAAGAACCCATTGGTTCTCTCAAGACCTCGGAGTTCAGGATCAGCCTGGTGGAACCCTTGGGATACAGAAGCTTCCCAAAGGCCATCATACTCTGCTTGCCATCAGCATATATGTGTTTAATTAGGCTCTTGACAGGTAAAGACTGTGAAAAGAGGACAGTTTGTTCTCCCAAGCTGTTCACTCTCTAAGCCCCCTGTTTATTTTGGAAGTGAATGAATAACATTGTGCTGGGAAAGGAAATTAAAAAAGCAGGGTTGTAATTTACAGTAGAGAAGAGAACAGATTTAGGGGCCTTTTTTTTTTTTTCGCTTTCCTTCTCCCTCCTCTTTTCCCCCTCTTTTCACTGCTCTGGTTCCAAACATCCAAACGTGCTACAGCTAAAAAGAGGACCTCAAGACTTCCTTACTTCTGGCAACAACAAGTGAGTTACAATTGCCAGTCTCTGTATTCTTGCCAAGAGAACAAAATGCTTCAAGGCAAAGGGAAAAAAAAAACCCAAAACTAAAAAAAAAGAGGTTTATCAAAACCAAATGCCACTGGAAATCCTAACGCTGTGAAGCCCAGTTCAAGATGTACATTGAAACCTATCCCCATCCATTTAAGGACAGAGAAGAAAATGGATTCTTTAATAGAATATTTAAAATATAACAATTGCTTTGGAGTGAGGAATTCTACTCTCTCTGGTTCTTATAAAAGTTCTGATTTTTTTTTTTTCCTTCATCTCTAAGTAAACTCCCAGCAGTTTTCTTTGAAAGAGGATCCTAGGCAGGCACCTCTTTTCCAAAGCACTCAACATTGTTCTAATGAGATATGATAGGTGGTTTGGAGTAGGAACTGGTCCAAGCAGTGGAGGTATCGCTTTATTGTGTGTTTGTTTTTCTTTTAAAATTCAGCAATCTGGACACTCTTCATTTTCACTTTAATGCTTCTTATTATTTTGTTTCTAACCTGTCTCCTAAATCCAAATCAGATCCAGCCTCCTTCCCCGTCCAAGCGCTCACTGCAGAATGGGAGAGAGGGAAGCTGAAGCTTTTTATTTTTAGAGTAGTCACAGTTCTGCAGGCCAGAAGGAATGAAATACTTGGACCATCTAGTCTCATTGTTGGACACCATGGGCCATAGGATTTCAGCCAGTGATTTCTGCATTTGTGCTGGAGCTGGATGACACTTTCTGGGCAGCTACCCAAGCGCCAAGTCTTGCAGCAGACATCACAACTTTGGGCATAGAAACTGAATGGATAAGTCTCACCTCTACAGGTTGTGTCCAGTTTTTGTCTTGAACACTTGTAGATACCAGCTCAAAACATACAAGCTTACTATAACTTTACAAGACACACTGTCTTCTGCAAGCCCTGGTTAGGGCTGTGGTTCCTAAGATTCATCTGAGCAGTTAGCTGGCCTGCGTTCTGAAGCCCAAATGGCCAAGAAGCCAGTGGCACTGGCTGATGGTGACGTAGCAACAATCATTCTTTACCAAGAGAGTGGTGAGGTGCTGGAACAGCTGCCCAGAGGGGTTGTGGATGCCCCATTCCTGGAGGTGTTCAAGGCCAGGTTGGATGGGGCCCTGGGCAGCCTGGTCTAGTATTAGAAGATATGGAGGTCGGTAGCCCTACCTGTGGAAGAGATTGGAACCTGATGATCCTTGAGGCCCCTTCCAACCCAAGCCATTCTATGATTCTTTGATTCTATGATCAGCAAATAGTACCTTTAAGCTGCAACCAGAACCTGCAACCAAACCAACAGACAGAAATATTCCAAAATAATGGGTGGAAGGAGAAGCTGCATAGTCAGGCTCTGGTTTCAGCTGAGAGATGGAGAAGTTCCTGGTACCTCTCTATGTGAAATATTTTTTCTCTTTACTTCTGCATTTGGGGAGGATTTTGTGATTGCACCCCATCCTCATCCAGCAGGCAGTGCTATTAACCATCACTAACCATTAACTTGATGGTTGACAGTGGGTGGGTGACAGATGGTGGGTGACAGCCTTGCCCATGACAGGGAGTTGGAATTGGTTGATCCCTTCCAACACAAGCCAGTCTATGATTCTATGATTCTGCTATCATGCTAAGACCTGAACTAGATAGTGCTCAACTATCAAGATCAGGACCAAGAAGGGGGAAAAAAGGAGGCAAAGCCATCAGGGATAATTTCCCAGACTGGATGTGATCTCAGAAGCCATCATCCATCCTGTACACCAGAGCTCAGGATAGCAGACTGAACCATTTCTTCTGCACAGGTTTCAGAGGACTTTCCAGCTGTAGCTACAGCCTTGGCATAGAATTTTAATGGAGATTTTAATGGAGTACGCTGCAGGCAATGCATTCCAAAATATTAGGATGAGGCCAGACCAACTCCACCTTGCAGACCCAGATTAAACCACTTTCTAATTGCCCCTTGGAAAAACTCGACAGTTTCATTAGCAGATGTATTTTCCAGGTTAGGAATTACTTTACTTTAAATCTTT